GTAAGTGTTTTTCTTAGTTCAGATGGCGAATTGACATTTATTTTATTGACCATTTATTTTAGATTGACTCTTCAAATTATGTAAGGAGTATAAAATTGGTGGCTTGCCGGGCCGTATGAAGTGAATGGGTTTAAAGAGGTGAAATATAAGGTTTCAGCCCAGTTGTAGAGAATACGTAGAAACCAAACCCTAAAACAATGCGCCGAAGGGTGTGCGGAATTGGATCCTCCTCCTCCTCTACAAGTGGCTATAAATTCAAAGAGACAGACGCGATGTCATCCCTCATCCCAACCTGTAATACCCTCAAAGCTCTTCCTCGGAGTAAATTCTATTGTTTATGCTTGGACTCTTTTTTTTCTTTTTTGTTTTTGTTTTTATTTTTATTTTTTGTGCTGTGATGAATCAATAGTGTGGACTAGAGTTTCTGATCTTTTGTTTGAAGACAAACCCTTGGCTGTCTGAGCACACCCGTTTTAGTAACAGTTTTTAAAAGACGTAAGTGGAGGGGGTTCTGTTATCGTGGCGTTGGGGTTGATGATGAAGACACGAATAATCTTAGCGGATTTCAGTGAGATGGTTCTTCATCTATGATCTGATTGTTACACACACTGAAGCCCTAAACCCCCAATGGGATCTTTAATTTTGATTTGATTAATTAATACTCCGTTTTTTGTTGATTGCTGTGATGAGGAGCGCACCTAAGGTGCAGTGGGCAGTGGGTAAAAAAGTTGGGACTGAATATGTTCAATCAGTCCCTATCTTTCCGTGAGCCTTTCATTTTAACGACTTCTCCTTCCACTGAGCATTCATTCATTCAGCTGCTTTCTTATTTTCTCGTTTTGGAATATATATAATGAAAAAGTTAAGGGCGGAAGTAGGCGTCTATTACCAATTCTGGGGGAGAAATCTCAGTTCCTCGCAGGCATAATGGCTTAGACGCCAAATCCAACAGTGGCTTATCCTGATCAATAGACTCTTCCACTGAACAACTAAGTGCTATTGTATCCCGGAAATACCACTAACACCCCTCCTCCTCTCTTTTTAATCCGCCTCTTCGATTTCATGCCCGGTGTTTACTTTTCCTTCCTATTCTGCATTCATAATTATTTTTAATGATTGCCACCGTCGCTCATTCAATATTTCAAAAGTCAAAATTCAGATTTCATTTGTTGTATCATCATCAAATTCGGAAAGCAGATCTTATGCAACTTAAAGTACGGAGCATCAACTTTGAAAAAAAAACCTCCCCAACAAATTGGTAAAAAAGGAAGTTCAAGTGACAGATTGGTTAATTTTAATAGATTTTAGAATTTCTGATAAGTATAATTCAGTCCTTCAATTTTAGAATTTCTAATGTTTTATAATCTTAGTCCTTTAATTTGGACTTCGTCATTAAGAGTACAGAACTGAAAATCTACTAAAAAATCATATGAAAAATTTATTTTTATGGAATTGTTTTGGAATTGAAGGCCTAGATATTACTCGGCCTAGATTGTTTAAGTTGATGAAATTACGATAATAGTTTGAATGGGCCAAAAAGTGACTAAACATGAAATTTAATGCCCAGCCCATTTATTCCCACTTGACCTAACGTGTCCTCTTAATAAATCCCTTATGAAGTCAAAGGTCTTCTTCATTCTTCAACAAGTCTTTACGGCAATCTTGAGTGACTAGCGGTAATGGGGTCAGCTAGTCGATGGCCGTCTTCCCTAATAAGGGCCTGTTTGGCATATATTCCGGCACAAGAGGCATATATACTCTTCTTCTCTACATCTTAAATCAGCAACTCATTGGTTATCCTGTAACAGCCAGACACACAAATTGGAGATGAAATAGGCAGAGAAGGAAGTGGGTCTCTGAAATATAAATAGCTTAGAGGAAAGACTTCTTTAAGGTGATTTGATTTTCTATTTGTTATCACTATGTGATGTTCGTATGTGTATAAATATATTTCTAAAAAGCTGTTAAATTAGTTAATAGTTATATTTAAACATATTGGTTAAACATTAATAAAGTTGTTGCAATGACTTCACAGCTATTTTAGTACGTACTTTAATGATGATGGGCTGGATGTTGAACTCACATCCTTAGAATATATTAGAAAACAGGGGCAGATTGTTTGGATCGTTCATGATTTTCCAAAAAAGTGATTTGTTTGGTTCTAGAGTTCACAAGAGAAACTAGCAAACAGGGGCAGAAATTTAATAGCAGATAGTTCCACGAATTTGATGAATGATTGGAAGTTGAAGAGCTGAAAATCTAGGGAAGAAGATATATTGATTAGAGAAGACCGATAGATAAGGAAGAAGATATGATGTGTGTCGTGAATAGAGGCTAGTAACGAGGGGTATAAAATTATAACGGAATGGATACTTCCGTTTCATTTATTCCATCTTTGTGATTATTTCGGAAGTATCCATTCTGTTATAAATTTTGATTATTTTATCCATGTACGGAAATAATCCATGTACGTATAACATTTGGATTATTTCTATCAATTTGTTAAGTACGGATTATTTTTGTAGAATGTTAAGAAGTATAGATTATTTACATGAATTTTGCCTATATAAAAATAGTTAAAATTTTTATCAACAGTAATTTCAATCGATATAGACAGAAAAACAACTTTAATCTTTTGCTGCTTATTACACTATCATGAAAAATTCAAATGCCATCATGTTTTTAAAAAAATCAAGACTACCAAATTTTGAAAAACGTTCAATTTTGTCCCATTTATAGGTTCATTCCCATGTCAATATGTCACGCGCTGACGTGGCGCACATTAGGTGGTTTATGCGTGTGCCACGTCATCATCAAATGGATGATTGGAAAGTCTATGGTGATTGAACTGCCACGTGCGTGCCATGTCAGCGGGTGATATATTGACATGACAAGTTCCACGAATTTGATGAATGATTGGGAGTTGAAGAGCTGAAAATCTAAGGAAGAAGATATATTGATTAGAGAAGACCGATAGATATGGAAGAAAAGGATGACACCTCATCCCTGATGTAAATTGGAAGAAGGTATGGTGTGTGTCGTGAATAGAGGCTAGTAACGAGGGTATAAATAACGGAATGGATACTTCTGTTTCATTTATTTCATCTTTGTGAACTGGTTTAAGGGTTTGGATTATTTCTATCAATTGACATGACAAATAACTTGCAAATGGACTAATTAAACGATTTTACAAAGTTTGGAAATTCAATTGATTTTTAAAAAAAAAACGAAGACGTATTAATAGATATTACGTGGACCACATTGACAATTCTCCTATTGTTGTATTAATAGATATTTGGCAACAGGCATGACTCGACCGGAATTATGAGATGATTATTGCGTGAGAATGAAGCACGAAAAGGAGTTCTATTTCGAGCAAGAATATAGTTCATTAATTAAACATTTATTGTATTAGATTCCTCTCATAATTCTATCTCCTAATCTCTATTAATACTTCATGTAAATACTCTACCAAGGAATCGGCAATTGGTTTTCTGGAATAAGAGTAATATTGTCTTACACTGCCATTTTATTTTGATATTATTTCTACTAGTATGTCACCCGTGCGTTGCACGACCGATATAGTTAATCATGTATTAATCTAAACAATAATGTTTATACAAAACGGGATATATCAAAAAATTACAATGCGTAATTGATGGTCACTAAGACAATTTCAAAAAAGTAACACCAAATAATATGCAAAAATATCTGCATTCTAAAACACTTCCTTATGCGATATTTGTGATTACATTTGTAGTTTTCCCTTTATCAAATTTCTGTGGGAACTTCGCATGTGTCAATCTTCTTGCTTCATTATTTTTTGTTTGCCTCAAACCAAGCAAGATACATGCTATCCTCAACACTTTTTGGATAGGATCAAGATCTTTGTCCAATTATTCATGATCAGAAAAGATAATGGGTTGAAATGTGATTTGAAATTTTTCCCAACTATCACAAAGCAATGGCATTGACGGCGGCAACAGTGACACTGATGACGACAACAATGACATTAGCAAAGACATTCTAAACTAATACTGACATTATGATTTTTCAATGTTACATACTTACATTGTTGTTAATGTATAAAAATAGTCACCTATTTAATAATATTGTGGATTGCAAAACACACGAAGATTTAATTTACTTTTTTAAAATATTGGCATAAGTGAAAAAAGTAGTTTTGTATCGTTTTCTTTCTCTAAATAGGACATTTTAAAATTATATTATGATTTTATAATGACATGTTAATAGTTAAAAATAATGTGATAATATATTTTTGAGATAAGTGTACTTTACTCTTATAATTATCTTGAAAAAAATTAACTCTTGCTATTGCTTAGGAGAATCACTTTATTTTTACTTGTTATTTGATTTTCTTTTTAAATTACAGTCTAGTGTATAATTTATACATCACCTTATTTATTTATGCATTGAATGTGCATGTTAATGGCATCAATTTTTACTAATCACCTGTTTCATTTTTTTGCACATTTATTCTGGAATAAATGTGGTGTTCCTATGAGATTAAAAATTTATGATTTCACTTTGTTTAGTTTTCAGTACACTATAACATTCAAACGGTATTGTTCACCTTTGATCGTATATAATGCCCATTATTGGATTGAGGAAAAGTGCACTTTTTAGTATGAAGAAAAAAGAATAATGAAACTGTGACCATATTTTTATTCAATTGAATGGATGAATACTCCGTAGTAGAAGTCTGAAAATAGAATGAAAAATATACTACTCCGTAAATATTATTCAAAGTCGAGTATATTTGTATCATTCAAATAATCGAATTTACCGGGCGAGATAAATGAATTTAATATTTATCAAGTGAGTCATTGAAAGGTTTGATCAAGCGCAATACAAATAAATTTTCACCAATAAAGTTAACACTTTTGGAATCAATATCATTTCAATGCATCAAAGTTTAGCCTTATTTTATTTATATCATTAAAATGTATCACTAACTCTTCTTATAGAGAGCTACATCCCAACTCATAATATAAGACACATTTAACAAATTTAATAAATTGAAAAAAATGAATAAAATTGGCCGGTGGATAAAGTTCGGTAACTTGGTCTATCCATTCATCTTCCATAGGCTTAACTCATCTTATTGAGCCTTCAACAGTTCAACACATGTTCAACCATATCTCCTTTAGAGCTTCTCTAATTCTTCTTAGTGGTATATGTTCCTTCTATTAAAACATAAATATTATTATTATTATTGTTGCTATTGGATTATATCATAGACTAGTCAATGTATATTTAAAACTCCTAGTCCGTAGCCTGATCCACTGTATTAGCTAGGTAGTTAGCTCTAGCTTATCTCATATACGTGTATAAATTCCCCAAGTGTACATCACAATTACTCAATACAAATTCCACACTTTCATGGTATCAAGAGCCATTCTCTAAAGAGCTTATAGTTTCTATTTTTTTTCCGGCCTATCACGAAGGTTATCACCACCGCCACTGTCGTGGTTTCCCTCACCGCCGCAACCCATTTTCCAATTAAACTCACTACTTCCAACTATCCAGTTTGGAAAAGCCAAGTTCACTCCGCCCTTATCGGATTGGGACTAGAAGACTATGTCGATGGTGATCTTGTCGGATTCGTTCCCGACAAATATCTAGATTCAGCCAAAACCCAGATCAACCCATGTTACACCATCTGGTACCGCCAAGACAAGACTATTCTTAGTGCACTTCTTGGCAGTTGTGCTGACACCATTTAGCCTCTCATCTCATCGGCCTCTACGGCACTTCAAGCTTGGGACAAGTTGTCACTTACGTACGCCAGCTCCTCTCGTGGCAGAATTATTTCACTCAAATCTACACTGGCCAAAACCACCAAGGGATCTCGATCCATTCTGGATTATCTCACTGAAATGCAGGCTATTGCTCAAGCATTAGCTCTTGTGATTAACATCTTGAAAGGATTGGGATCGGACTATAGTGACATCAAATCAGCTATTCGTGTTCGGGAAACAGTATTACCTCTTACGGAGCTGCAGGATATTTTATTGGAACATGAACAACAGGTCAATGATGCTGCTGCCTCAAATCAGCCTCTTATTCCTACGGCAAATGCAACCCAAACTGCTCCCAGGCAGTCCAATAACCTTGACCGACGACCCACTTATAATCCAGATCGTCGAGGCAGTTTCTCAAGGCGGGGCAGAGGTGCTTCCTCTGGTTCTTCTCGCTTCTCATCATCACAGGTGGTATGCCGGTTTTGTGACAACGTCGGTCATGAGGTGAAGTACTGCCGCAAACTTCAACGATTTCTCCGCGATAACAATATCCCCTACCTGTCTCAACAAGGACATCCGGCGGTCAATCATATCACCACCACACAATCACCAAGCGGTCAACAATGGATGTTTGATAGCGGTGCATCTCACCACGTCGCATCTGATGCTAATCTTCTTCCCACATACACATATTATGGCGGTCCGGAAGAGGTTCGTCTAGGGGATGGTAAGGCTCTTTCCATCACACACACTGGTTCTACCACCCTACCCACTAACACCTCTCGTTCCCTATCCGTCTCTAATATCCTTTGTGTTCCTAAATTACTAAAAATTCTGATTTTCGTAGCTAAATTATGTCAAACTAACAATGTTTCTGTTGACTTCTTTTCCACTCATTTTCTTGTCAAGGATCGGGTCATGGGGGCGCCACTTCTACGAGGGGAGAACATTCATGATGTCTACTATGTCCCGTTCAAGCATGTACCTCAAGTCAATGCCACCCACCTCTCGGATGTCTCACGTTGGCACCACACTCTGGGGCATCCTTCCAGTCGTGTACTTCAGTTTTTAGTTCATAAAAATAAAAATATTCAGTGTAATCCACAATGTGATTTTCATTGTATGTCCTGCTCCATCAATAAAAGTACCAAATTGCCTTTTTTTGTTAATACCATGCGTGCCACTAGTCCTCTTGAACTAATATATAGTGATGTCTGGAGCACTTCTGATAAATCTGTTGATGGCTATAACTACTATGTTATTTTTGTGGATTTTCTGACTCGCTATATCTGGCTATATCCACTTAAACATAAGTCTGAAGTGTCCACTATTTTTCCACAATTTCACCGTCTTGTTGAAAATTATTTCCAACATAAAATTAGAACTATATTTTCTTACAATGGCGGTGAGTACATTAAACTCCGTACCTATCTTAATACGCATGGTATATCTCATATCACCACCCCCCTCACACCCCTGAACACAATGGTCTAGCAGAGCGTCGTCATCGTCACATAGTTGACACAGGTTTAGCACTGTTACATTATTCTGGTCTCCCTGTTAAATATTGGTCCTATGCGTTTCAAACCGCAGTATATTTAATTAATCGCCTTCCCACCCCGGTCCTTGACAATGACACCCCTTATTTTCGACTTCATAAACACCCACCCAACTACACTAAATTACAACCATTTGGTTGTCTGTGCTATCCCTGGTTACGACCTTATGCTCATACCAAAACCCAACCCCGGTCCACTCCGTGTATTTTTGTAGGCTACTCTCCTTCTCAGTCTGCATACTTTTGCTTAGATTACACCACACACCGTGTGTACATCAGTCGGCATGTAAAATTTATCCCACATATTTACCCTCTCCGTCAAAATCCTATGTACGTGCATGCGCCAAATAATTCATGCATCATACGTCCTGGTCAACAACCCACGCCCCAATCTCCTCTTAATTCTATCCATTTGAATTCAAATAATTCCACTTCTTTTATCAACTATCGATCCCCAACTTTCGGCCATCCCTACTCCACCTCCCTTATCCCAAACAACCTCCTTTTTCCCACCACTTCATACTCCACCCAATTCAATTATTCAAATTCAAAATTCTCCTCCACTTACGGCCAATAATAATTTATCCACTCCAGCTCATAATTCCAACTCCAACCTTTCCACACATCAACAACCAAATTCCTCCCCTCCCATGCAGCCTACGTCAAATCCTAGCCCACCACCCACTCAAGAAACTTTAACCCTTACTCCAGATTCTAATTCAATCCCACAGCTTACTCTCCCCGTCCTACCCGCGTACGGGCTCCAAATCCAAAATATTTTGGCAGCCCGTTCGTAAACCTGACCACCTGTCATCATGTCTCTCCCCGTCCTAGAACCTGCTAGTGTGAAGGAAGCCTTACGTGATCCTAGGTGGCGCTCTGCTATGGAGGAAGAAATGGCTGCTCTCCGCCGGAATCAAACTTGGACGCTAGTACCCCGGACAACTCAGACACCAATAACTTGCAAATGGTTATTCCGTATTAAGAGACACGCAAATGGCAGTGTTGCTCGGTTCAAAGCTAGACTAGTTGCTCGTGGGTTTCTTCAACAACCAGGACGCGATTATGCTGAAACTTTCAGTCCGGTCACTAAGTCGGCAACTATTCGTATCATTTTGTCTATTGCCCTCTCCCAAAAGTGGCCCCTGCGACAACTAGATGTTAATAATGCCTTCCTTCACGGCTCTCTTTCCGAAGAAGTATACATGGTTCAACCATCCGGGTTCACTGACTCAGCACATCCCAAGCATGTATGTCGTCTACAAAAAGCATTATACGGGCTCAAACAGGCACCCAGTGCTTGGTACTTAGAACTGTCGCGTTTTCTCATCTCCATGGGGTTCCGAAAATCTCGTGCCGATGCCTCTTTGTTTATATATACTCATCATGATGTTATATTATATTTTCTTGTATATGTAGATGATATTGTGCTCACAGGAAATAATTTGCATGCACTAGACAAGTTTGTATGCCAACTCACTCATCGGTTTTCTGTGAAAGATCTTGGGGCCCTACATCATTTTCTTGGCGTGGAGACCATCCCTCATCCGGATGGTATCTTTCTTTCACAAAGACAATATATCCTACATATTCTTGATGAGTGCAAAATGGATGGTGCCAAGGAAGCTATCACTCCCATGAGTTCTAGCTCACCTCTCCAGCTCACTGATGGTACGCATGCTGCAGATGATTCCCATTATCGAAAGGCACTTGGGTTATTATAGTATCTAACATTCACACGTCCGGATATATCTTTTGCCGTAAATCGTCTCTCTCAATTTATGCATGCTCCCACCGATGCACATTATCAAGGGGTCAAACGCGTTCTCCGCTATTTAAAGGGCACCATTAATTATGGATTATTTCTCAAGCGGTCCTCTTCTCTCCCTCTTACAGCCTTTTCTGACTCCGATTGGGGCGGAATTCATGATGGTAGTAAATCTACCACTGGTTATGCTCTATATCTAGGCCCAAATATTATTTCTTGGAAATCAGTCAAGCAAAAGACGGTTGCTCGGTCCTCCACTGAAGCAGAGTTTCGAGCTGTTGCAAATGCTAGTGCTGAGGTCTTATGGATACGGAATCTACTTTCAGAACTTGGAAGTCGACTATCTACTGCTCCTCGAATATTTTGTGATAATCAAGGGGCCACCCATGTTTGTGTTAATCCCGTGTTTCATTCCCGTATGAAACATGTGGCCCTTGACTTCTTTTTTGTTCGTGATTTGGTTGAGAGTGGTCAACTCATGGTTCAACATGTCTCCAATAAAGTTCAAATAGCTGATATATTGACAAAGCCACTCGGAAAGTCTCTCTTTGAACGTTTTCGGTCCAAGATGGGCGTTTCCAATGGAACCTCCATCTTGCGGGGGCGTATTAAAACATAAATATTATTATTATTATTGTTGCTATTGGATTATATCATAGACTAGTTAATGTATATTTAAAACTCCTAGTCCGTAGCCTGATCCACTGTATTAGCTAGGTAGTTAGCTCTAGCTTATCTCATATACATGTATAAATTCCCCAAGTGTACATCACAATTACTCAATACAAATTCCACACTTTCACCTTCTTCCACGGAGCATACTCATTCTCTTTCGACATCCACGAATCTCCTACATCTTCTATTCTTCTACAGCCGTAAATGTTATTAATAGAGGCAGTGGAAAGTGGAAATCAATCCCAATCAGATTTGTGAGGAGTGATGCTTAATGAAAAGCGTGAAAAGTAGAAATTATAATTTTCATTAAAGAAAAAAAAACGTATATATACATTTATATAATCAAACCTTTTTCATAGATTACAATATCTGAATTTTTATGTACTCCGCATGTAGGTCTCCATTTGTTTTGGCTGGAGTGTTCTAATGAACCGTACTTTGTGGTGCAGCCGTGGAGGTCTCCATGTAGTGTCTTGTCATATACCATATAAAGTCGATCATCTTCCAAATCAATAAGGATAGATCCTTTAGCATTACAATGCACTTCCTGAAATGAATTCCGAAATGAGAAACATTTTTTTTCAAGCAATGGCTAAATTATGAGCAATTTGATTGGCTACTCTGAATATGAGACATAATGAATTTAGAAAATCCTTCTTACCTGGAACTCATAGCTTTGATTTGCTTCTTGTTTTTTCTTTTTTACTTTTTGTGTTTACTTCTTGCTGCGGGTTTAAGGGCTTGGTAAAAAAAATTATGGGCTCCTTATGTGTGGAGTTAAAACTTTGAGAGATATGATGAAATAAATAATCTGAAATGTGTTATGCTACGGCGGCTTACTATCAACCTGTTCAAAATCTTACTCTATATAAAAAGAAGTGGAAAACCGGGTGGTTTTCCCGCCCAAAAGTGTCACTATCAAAATAATGAATAATAAAAATAAAAGAGAATAGAGGAAGATCCGTTCAAACCATTATTCAAAGCACATTCTTATTCAAAAGGTAAATATGTGGCGTGTCCGAGACTCAACCATATTCTTATTCTTTGAAACAACTTTAATTAAATGTTTGGTTGACCGTGAGTTAATTATATGTCAGGCAAATGTCTATTCCCACTGTACCAATATACGTGCTAAGTCAACAATATATTCACGTGATATCTTCTTGATTAATGCCAGAGGAGAGTCATGGTCCAATTAATTGCCTATTCATCTTTTAGGATTCCATGGTCGAAAAGTAACAACAATACCAAGTATATAGTCAGCCCATTACATATTGGAATCAGTCATACCTCATCTTCTTCCCCGTGGTGAGCAGAGCCTTCCGTGAAACTAAAAATGTGGAAGTTGCAATCCAAGCCGACGGGACATCTCTACGGGAAGTGAAATAATGGATTTCAGCCCAAGATGAAGCGGGTGAGGAAGGGGAGTATCAGGGAGATCCAAAAGTGCAAAATATGGACGGACCAAAAGAGACTGGATAAATCGGAATCCAAAGCTTCAATAGATCCGAATTTTCTTTCCCTGTGACGGTGTGTGTCTAGCTTTGTTTGGGACACCGAAGCATGGGACTATGCCGTCAGATTCTCTAGGGATGAAAATGGGACTACAACTTAGAAGCTTTGTTTCTTTTTCCGGATATGTGCCGGGAACCACATAGAAACATATCGGGCTCCTTCCCCTGATGCCGTGGTTGGTCAAACATGTGTACAAGGGGAGCCGGTTTTACCACGGTTTGAAGATAAACTGGCTCAGGGGAAGGATTTGTATTTGGATAGTTTTTTTGGTGTTTGGATTTGGTTTAATGGATTTGAGGACTTTTTTTCTCTTATAGTATGATAGTTTTGTAGATTTTATTTTTGGATCCAGGCATGTCTCAAGCTTGGCACTTTTGTATTTTGGAGCTTGGCTCATCTGTTTCTTTATTGTCAAGCACCGGAAAGGCAACAATTTGCTATATGGAGTGATACTAGTCTATTACACTTTGGATTTTGAAATTGTGGTGGAGGCACTCTCTCTTTCTTTGGTTGATGGTTGAGGTATACTTGAAAACCCCCATTTATGTGAAGGAATTTTTTAAATAATCATGCAAAAGAAAATAGTCAGAGCAGATATATACATACATGTATTATGGAGTATTTGTTTTTAAATAAGCTCAAAAAATATC